GTAATCTGATAGAGGTATTAGCTAATGCAATTAAAAGAGAAAGAAAATATAGACATGATACTTAAAAAGGAAGAGATAAAATTGTTTATTCTTCTTTAGAAAAGAAGATTATACACCCAAATTTTCAAAATGGTTAATAGAAAGAATCCTAGTTGACAATAATTCAGCAGGTAATTTGTTACATCAGTAACACCAACCGATTGTCTTACTATATGCTAGCAAAACCTGACAAGTATATGAAATGGAAGAAGGGACACCATTTACAGTGGCAAATAAGTGCACAAAATAAATTGGTTTAATAAATAAATAAAATTCTAAAGCCCAAAGTTAACAAAAAGCACCTACACATTTATGAGCAGTCCACACTGTGCTCTGGAACAGAACAAATTAATGTCATCGACATGCAAATCCTAACATTTCAAATTTATAAGTTTATTGTGATTTCAACAGAAATATTATCAGATTTTTATTTTGCTTCACAACTAGACAGAATTGTTGTAGAGCTAATTTGGGAAAACAAAAAGCAGTAGTAGCCAGGAAACCTTGAAAGAAGAGCAGTGACTGCAGGAATGGCAAGAAGCTGAGACCGATGTTAAAGCATGAACTGTCTATATTTAAAACAGAGGTTAGCAACACAAACAAATAAAATGCTAGAATAATTGAAGAATGGCAGCAATTCAAATGATGTATTGTAATTTTGTGTATGATAAAATTCATGTCAATAAGAATAGGGAAAGATGGACTTTTTAATCACTGCCACTGGGACCACTGTAAAAAAATACATCTACACAACCAGTAGAAATAAGCATTGATGTTTGTCATCTTGGATAAGACAAACTTTATTAACTATGACTCAGATTTCATAGAGAATAAGAAAAGAAATGATGATTTTAATGACCAGGGCCACTTAAGCAAAGCACATGCAACCTGACAAAAAAGGCAGAAATCCACAATTCGTAATATAAACAAATATTCCTAATATATAAATGTTTCAAAAATGGAGAAGAAAAAGGACAGCAAGCTATTAGAAAAAAAAAACAGAAAAGTAGCACTTGATAGAAATATAAATGCAAATGTTCCTGCTCTTAAGAAGATAAATGCAAATTAATTCTAACCTGAGATAAAGTTTTTCATTAGTAAAACCCAGAAAAATGATAACATGCTTTGTTGAGAAGCTATGAGGAACAGATATTCTGCTCCAAAGCCAAAAGAAATTTAAAATAAAGCAGCCACTTCAGATGAAATTTGACAGTTACTAGAAGGATTTCATATGTATTTAGCTTTAATGAAAACCTCACTCTCAGAAATCTATCCTAAAGAAAGATACTGTGCAAATTATTCAAAGAAGAAGTTACAATTTACAACATTACTGTTTATGTCAAAAACCCCTGTAAGTATCCTAAATGTCCACCCCTTGGGGACTGGGGTTTGAGTCAATAAACAAAGATGTATCCACATATACATAGTACTGTGAAAATGTAAAGAGAGATGAATTTATATACATATAGATGAATGCCACTACATATTACTATATGGAATAATTTAGCTATATTATTAATGGAATAAAAATGAGTTTAAATTATATACAGTATCTACTAAGTAGTAGCTACCTATTATCAACTTCTTATGTGTCTTAGGTGGCTCTTTTGGTCTTTTTGAGAGAGGGTCTCCCTGTACCCCATCTGGCCTAGGACTCACTTTTGTAGACCAGACTGGTCAAACATCCAGAGAGTCACCTGCCTCTGCCTCCAAGTCCTGGGATTAAAGGTGTGCACCTAACCACCCAAATCAATGAACATGTCTTGTGCTACACTCTTTTAGGGAGAGGATAAAAATTGAGGCCTGGCATAGGTGTATGATGCTGGCTTAAGATCTCACAGGAAACTCACTCCTGATTCCTGCAGGGAAGCAGTCACCTAAAGCTTACCCCTGCCTAGAGGAGCTACTTGCATTCTAGTTAGTTCATACAGTCTTTGATAGAGGCTTCAGTCACTTGCTGACTGGGCTCCAAAGTCTCAGTGCTCAGTTTTGGCCTCTAGGGCTGCTCAAGACCTGGTAACTGGCTTTTGAAAGAATGAGTGATCCAAAAGAAAAGACAAGGAGAACACCGTAGGCCTGTCTGTTATAAGCCTCTCCCGGGAGGGTATGATCCTGCTTCTTTGGTATTTCACTTGTCACATAGACTGATCATAATTCAGCAGTAGAAATCAGGGGATACCACACGAGGACATGAAATCAGGAGGCCGGCATAACTGGGACCACCCACCCTGAAAACTGTTTCACTTGTCACATGACTGATCATAATTCAGCAGTAGAAATCAGGGGATACCACACAAGGACATGAAATCAGGAGGCCGGCATAACTGGGACCACCCACCCTGAAAACTGGCTGCCATATAAGCCCAATTACTAACTGGCTATGGAACCAAATAGAATGAACCTATTTTAAATAACTTTGAACTGTACAACTTCATGCTGTCCCTAAAAGTATATATAACAAAGTATTTTTTGAAAAACTAAAATACTGTCAATAACAATTATGTTTACATGTCATTCTGTTTATATATTATGAGATAAAGTGAGTCTTTGGTATTTTTTGGACTTAGAATTTTTGGTAAAAGAGATATAGAAACATAAGGATTAGAGAGCTAGTTCAGCGGGTCAAGTACTTGCAGTATGGATCTGAATTCAGTCCCCAGCAACCACATAAAATTTCCAATCTGTACTTTCATTTACATTTAAGTTTGTTTGTTGTAGGTACGGTGTCACTTCGTAACTTAGACTGTCCTTAGACTTGAAACGATGTCCCTGCCTCAAGCCTCCTGAGTACTGGGGTTACAGACATGAGCCACAACAAACATGTATTTGATGCTCTCCCTAGTTTTCTCCCAGCCTACCATTGTGGATTACACAGTATTAACACAAGTTTTTTTTGTCTTCACTTATCTTGGAGAACAATGTTCATAGCTTCTACAATGTATTCACTTTTTAAAAAAGATTTATCTATTAAATTATGTGTATTTGACTGCATCAAAGTAGGGGTCTGTGAAAACGAGTCCAGGTATCCTCAGAGTCCAAAAAATGGTGCAAATCCCCTGGAGCTGGAGTTACACATGGTTGTGAACTGTCTGACATTGGTACTGGGAACAAAGTTAGTCTTCTGAAAGAGCACTATGCACTCTTAATCATTGAACCACCCTTTGAACCCTCTGTTGCAAATGCTTTAAAAGTTGCTTTATTCATCAACAATATTTAAGACCTGTTTAGGCTTCTAACACTTCCAATACCATCAAGAAAAATCATGACATCTGTGTGAAATTTCATGAGCTTCTTTAGTTTATTTTTTTTTATGTATATGTGTGTGTGTGCCTGCATGTGTTCATATCCACCACATATGTGCTAGTGTCTGCAGAGGCCAGAAGATCACCAGGAACTGGAAATAAAAAAGTCATAAGCGACTGTGTGTGTGTGTATGATGGGAACTGAAACTAGGTCCTCCACAAGAGCAGGAAGCACTCAACCACTGAACTATTTTGCCAGCCTCCTGTGTAAATTTCTTATGCTTTATTTGTGATAATACTTACAGGCAAACACCACAGAACTAGCATTGACTGAAGTCACTGCAGACTGTTTTGTCACCTTTAAGCAAGCAGTGTCCTGTGATTGCCCTCAAGTAAAGCACACGTACTAACAGGTCCTAAAGGACAGTCATAGCTCCTTGTGCTGTCCCTGTGCAGTCTTATCTTTGACCTTTCCCAAAAGTTTAATTATACTCTGAAAGCAGCAATCTCTCCTGCCATCACACTGTGCGTTCCTTTGTATTTTCTGTATTCACTTCCCTTTTCCTATCATTGTTCTTCCCTCTGCTACTCTCTTTGCAACTGTCATCCCATCTAAATTTATTTTACAAGCCTAGCCATAGGTGACAATACCTGTAGACCTCGACTACCAAGTCCATGTTAAGTGAATCTGCGGACCTGTCTGCTAGTGGATTTTCCCACCTTATATTATACTATCATGGTTCCTTGCTTTGCCTTCCACTGCTTGCACGTTTTTAAAGCAAGGGCCATTTCTGTCTCATTCGTTCTAAGACCTATCACATGTGCTGGTTCAGACTAAGCAAGCAATAAGGATTTTTAAAATCGTGGAATAAAGTTATTTAAGGATGGAGGGAAAGCACAGGCCACAGGCTTCTGTGAGTTCTTACACCCATCAAGGCAGGAGAGCTTGTAAAATTCCCTCAGGCTTTGGGATAGAGGGTCTGGTTCCTAAATGTCTAGAAACGGATCCTATATTGATCAGGAGCACAGAATATTAAAGTTACATACAGGAAATGGTTATTTTGCTTATGAAAAGTGCTTTTCAAATAAGTCCTTTACTGTCTCCAGGAAATAGTTATCCCTGGGCAGATCAGTCTTCCCTAGACAGAAAGGACCATCATCCTAACAAGTCAAAACATCTTAAAATGCAGAAAAAAATTTAAACACGATTAATATGCCATGTTCCATGAGAAGACGGAATGAAAATTTATTCTTGGCCCCAGTTTCATCATTATTCTGTTATAACCTTTAATAAAATTTTGGGGGAGTAACATTTTTAATCTCTTCTACTCTTGGCAAGGCTCATAATTGCCTTTGCCATCCTTTATGAACCTGATAATTAAAACAGCCTGCAGATACTCCTATCTCTGATAAGAACACACATTTGCCTATAAACACCTTACGTTCTACCTGTTTTTTGTCTGTCAGAGACATCTTTCCTGAACCAATGAGACAGTCTACTTGTTAACATATTTGTTGAACATGTGTCAACTGCATAATGCTGAAATTGGTGTGAGGCAAGGTTTCCTCACTGGGAATTCAAGGACTCAGTGTATGACATGGGTGGAAGTTCATGCAGAACTGGAATGTGGTGAAAGAAGCTGCTTGACTCACACATATTCTCCCCTTTCCTTTTTTCACTTTCTGCTCCTTGCTTCCATTTGTCTTTGTTTCTTTAAGATTCCCCATAAGGCAAATCTCCATTGCAGCTCTGTACCAACAGGAGACCATTCCCTATCCTATATGCACCAGCTCCCCAGGAGAAAGCCCAGAGACCAGTCCTTGGAACAGATGGCAAGGGACAGCTCTGACCACCTTGAGGTGTGTATAATGAGTTAACGAGTTGATTTCTGTAGCTATGTGGATGATGGGCACCGTTCATTCATTGTATATTTTGATGTGAAGCAAGCAAATAATTAGAAAGTCCAAGGGCGAACCAATGGGCATCAGACTCCACATGTCCAGATAACTTTGCAGGAAACGTCCTTGGGGAGTTCACAGGCAAACTTGCAAACCTCAACTTCCTTCTTTCCAGAGTTCCCAGAAGGGCCCCTGCACTCCTAGTTAAGCCAATCAAGACCCAGGCTTCATTTTTTATCTTCACTTCTAGTACCCAACTCCCCAATCTAACAAGTTTTTAAGATTTATTATTTTAAATTATTAGGCAATCAGAAATGTTTTTATTTTATTGTGTAAATCAGAAGATGGATATTAAAGAGGCTGGCTGTGTCCCCTAAGAAGCTTTGCTTCCTTTCTTTCTAAAGGACTGATCTGAGGCCCTATAAGCTAATGAAACTACCCAGATTGGACACCTACCCACAAGTGCCGCCATCTTGTCCTGTCCTAGGCCAGACCTGTGGGTGCAAGCTCTGATAAGCTGCCCCAGTGGCTTCTGCTTCCTTGCTTTGGCTTTTACTCATCTTAGTTCAGAGCTCTGTTTACATTTTCTCCTCTTTGTTGTGTTAGGATATGGTCCAAAGGCCAAGCAGAATAACAAGAGAAGATTCTTTCCTACTTGCCTTGGTCAGAAGAGAATTCAAGTCACAGCCTTTCAGTTCCAGCCTGTTAGACAAACTTCAGAAAGAGCTGGAGACCCTGGACCCCATCTCCTCTGGGTTTCTCCACCAGTCTCAGCTGAGCCGCCTCTTCCTGAGGCACCAAGTCCCTCTGCAGTTACCAACAGTCAAACTCCTTTGTCAAAGATTTTCTAGAAAGAGTTCTCCTGAAATGGTATGACCATCTTGATGTTTTAAACGTGGTTTCCTTTTATGTCTCTGTCTTAACCCAACAAGTTACTATAATTCAGAAGTGAGTTGATTCTTTGACCATAGCCTTTCCTATGAACCCCTAAAGCTCATTCATATTCATAAGTGGAAATTTTCATCAGAAAACACTGGAATAGGCAATAGAGTTAGGGCTCTTAGCTCTGTTCAATTTCTCATTAAAGAGTTTACCTGTCTCAGCTCTCACTGTCTGTTTTAAATGTATGAAGACTGAGACAGATTCAAGATGATGGGCTCACTGAGTCCATTCATGAGCTGACTCAATCTACAGGACCCCAGGGTAAAAGTAGAGAGCATGACCAAGATCTCTTATGTGTTGTAACAGTTTCTTAGAGCATAGAGGTGCCTTTGAAATATAACATCACCATTTTACTGATGAGGAAAATAAGGCCCACATTGTCAAAGAAGTAGTTCAGGGAACTAAAAAATTATTGGCAGACCTGGAGTTGAGACCTGAGTTCTCTTAAGTATAAGACCTGGGTGCCTTGGGTATTGCACTTTCCTGTGACCTGCCATAATGGAACTTGATATGTTCAGATAAATAGATGATAGATAGATCGATCGATAGATAGATAGATAGATAGATAGATAGATAGATAGATGATAGATAGATGATAGATAGATAACTAGATAGATGATAGATAGATAGATAGATAGATAGATAGATAGATAGATAGATAGATAGATATAGATAGATGATAGATAGACGGAGGGATGAGAGAGAGTCTGTGTGTGTTTGTGTAATATGTTGACACTACACTGCATTATTCTCAGCAATGGAAATCTGTAATCATTCTTCAGTCTTTCGTACATTGGAAAACAGTCCTGGCGCTTTTCACTTAACCTAATAAATACTTTTTCCTAGAAAATCTAAATGCATTTACACGTATAAGCATATTCTACAGATAATAAATATTACCAAGATGTGAGATTAAGAAAGACAGGCTAGATTCTAGGCTATGCTATGCTAGCAATTCTCAGTTCTCAGTAGTTTAAAATAATAGATATTTAATTGATTGATTATCAAAACAGGATCAGATGCAAACCACGGTGGCATCTGAAAGCACTTGTATAGCTGAGGATGATCTTGAACTTCTGATCCTCTTGCCTCCATCTCTCAGGTGCTATGATTATAGTCATGTATTAACAAGCCAAGTTTTATGTGATGCTGACCCTCAAACCCAGGATTTGTGCCCACTAGACAAGCACCCTACTAACTGAGCTGTAATACCAGTCCCCAGTTGTGGCCCGAATTCCCTCTGGGTCTCCTGTGCTATCAGAAAAACTGTATAATATATTTGATGTGCATTTATTAACTTACAAAGGGATGAGAAGCCAGTGCCTAGCCCCACACCTCCGGCAGCATGGCTCAGAGCCCACCATATCAGACCGAGCCACTGCTACCATAGTCCTCGCTAACATTTGCTCATGCTTCAGGGGCCAGCAATCTCACCCCAGATCCGCAAGAGTCAGTCCATTCTGTTTTTGAGCTGCTGGCTTCCATTCCAAGATGGCTCCCAGCAGCCCCTTCATAGTTCATGCTCTGAGTCAGGCCCCACCCATTGGAGGAACTAGCCAATCAGGAGACATCAGTAAATGTTCATTTTTAAAACATTTTTATTTATTATTTTTTATTTTATGTGTATGCGTGTATTGCCTGCGTGTATGTAAGTGTACCCTTGTCATGCAATGCCCACCGGGGACAGAAGAGGCTGTCGGATCCTCTGGAACTGGAGTTACAGACAGTTGTTAGCTACCATGTGGATGCTGGGATCAGACCTGGGTCTTCTGCAAAAACAGTCAGTGTTCTTAACCGCTGAGCCATCTCTCCAGCACCCAAATGTTAATTTTTAAATATACATTACATTTCTATGAGTCAGTCCTAGGACTTTCTAGGCACTGTTGTTGTCTGAACTGTGAGCCCTTCCTGATTAAATAGCCACTTGGGAATACTTCTGGACATGATATGGAGTGGAAAAAAAGAGCTCCAAGGCTCTCGTGCCAGCATTTTGATTCAAACCCTAAAGTACCAGTCTTCCTCTCTGCTCATGGTTTCATAGGTCAGAACAGTCCCTTACCCAGAGTTTCCTAAACTATTTGTAGCCTTAATGCCTTTCTGCAAACAACTTTTTATGTGATCCAGAATATGGTATATAATAAGTATACAAATCAAACATTTGCTCATAAGTCAGAAAGAAACTTTTTAAAAATATTTTTTTTCATTACAGCTTTAACATATTCAGTAACGATTTCCAGAACAAGGATACATCTCTTTCAAAAGTGGCTGTAAATTTTTAGGTTCACAGTTGAATTAATACAGTTATACAATTGAACTCAGTATAAGCCCTGTAAGACATAAAATTGAATGAATTTTTAACCTTTAAAGAAGATCTCCATTTCATTTTAAAATATGTTGTTTCATATATATGTCTTTCTGAGACAGGGTCTCCTTGTAGCTCCAGCTGTCCTGGAACTCACTATGTAGACCAGGCTGGCCTTGAACTCACAGAGATTGGCCTGCCTCTGCCTCTGCCTCCCAAGTGCTGGGACTAAAGGCGTGCGCCACCATGCCCAGCTCTTTCATATATTTTTAATGCTACTAACGCTTAGATATTTGCACATGCATTTTTAATCTCTATGTATTTAGTCACAGTGGATTACACTCAAATCCTTGGCATCTGAGATGGATATAAGTCATCAGGTAGATTTCAGTGGTAATGTTTATCACCTCTACTAATTAACATGAAGTAAATTTTTATGCTTCCTCCTCAAATATGTCTTTTTTTAATTTGTTGATTTTTTTGTGTGTATATCATACAGAATATCCCACACAGTCTTATTCATCTATATACCCACTTCCAAAATGGCACCTTCCCCATAGCATCCCCCCAATATTTTATTTACTATTTTTATTTCATGTGTATGAGTGTAATGCGTGCATGTGTATAAGTGCACCCATGTTGTGCAATGCCAGTAGAGGTCAGAAGAAAGCATTGGGATTCCCCTGGAACTGGAGTTAGGATGGTTGTTAGCCACCATGTGGGTGCAGGGAAGAAAAAACTGGGTCCTTTGTAATACTGAGCCATCTCTCCAGCCCATAAAGAGTCTTTTAAAACCAATTATTTGGCATATATAGAATTTTACTATTTATTAAAGATAAAACAAGTTTATACACTAAGATGAATATGCTTGTTTATTTTTATATAAAGAGCTAAATCTTTGGACTGTGTGTTCATGCCATAGCTGCAGCGAAGTCACCTGATCCAGTCCAGGTGGTGCTGCCAGAAATATCTTATACATTTGAATTTGTATTGAATTTTGGTTGTTACATGTTTGAAAAACCTTCTACTATGCCATATTTTTCATGACTCCACAGGGTTGCTCCACACAGCATAAGAAGTTGGGCTTTACCCAACCACCACGTAAAATTTTACCATTTGTCCAGATAAGGCTGCTTAGACAAAAATCACAAATAATTATGAGACTATATTTTAATTGGATTTTTAAACTATTAATGGTAAAATTTTCCAAATGCATTTTATTCCAACAGATATCTTTCCCTTCAGTATAAATTAAATAAAGATGCTCCACCGTATATTTAATTTTCAGGTGAATTATGGAAAGCTTCTCTGGTTTTTAAAAGGTGCAACTTCAACTGGTTTACAGCAAAATGAAACAGCTGTGGACAGCAACTTCAGGAAAACTCCAAGTTATAGCGAGCATAGACAAAGGTATTCCCTTCCCTTTTGTATGCCTATTATTCGTGCCTTTCTTAGTCTGCTCAGATTGCTGTAATCAACTACTATAAGCTAGATGGCTTTAAAGAACAGATATTTCATTCTACTACTGTGGGCTGAATGTTTAAATGACAGTGTTAACATGTTTGGGTTCTAGTGAGGGGCCTTTTCTGGGCTGCAGATGCCAGCTCTTTCCTAATACTTAACATGACAGAAAGAACAAGAAAATTCTGCCACCACTCTTTGTAAGGGCATTAATCCCTGTCCTAGATTGCTTCTGTTGCTTTGATAAAATGCTGACTAAAATCAGTTTGGGGAGGAAAGGTTTATTTGGCTTACATCTCACAGTCTTATCATCCAGGTAAGCCAGAGTAGAAACTCAGGTCAGGAACTTAGAGGCAGGGTCTGAAATGCCTCACAGACATGCCTAAAAGCCAATCCCAAAGAAGAAATTCCCCAATTGAGGTTCCCTCTTCCCAGATGTGTTAAGTTGACAACTGAAGCCATCCAGCACAATCCCATTCATGAAGACTCAAACCTTGTGACTTAATCTCCTCCCCAAAGCATCATCTCTTGATACCACCACATTGGAGTAAGGGTTCCAACATTTGAAGTTTGGAGGGACATAATCAGTCCATTGTGCTAGAACTCTATAGTGGCAGGATCTTGGAGGCATTCACTCTAACATCTTACCAAGTTGACCAATATTTCACATGTACATATAGTTTCTCTGTCTCTGTCGCTCTTTATGTGTGTATGTCTCTCTCTCTCTCTCTCTCTCTCTCTCTCTCTCTCTCTGTTTTTCCTCTTCCCCCCCTTACACTTTTCCTTTCTCAGCATAAGAAGATATATCAATCAACTGCATATATTTCTTTATACTAAGATACGTCTTTTTATTTATATGTGAAAAAGAAAAATCTCATTGCAAACAAGAAATGATCATGTAAAGCATGGAGCTGCCTCATCTATAAAGTGTGAGTCTAGAAATAGGTTTGGCTAGTGAAACCCTGTTATATGTACTAGCGAAGGGGAAGAAATGATTGAAGGTTTTAAAGAAAAGTATGTGAGAGATATGATTAGCGATGAAGCAGAGTGAAGTGTGATATTTTCTGTGTTTACCAAGAACAGTGAGGAAGTGCAATTGTTAGGAACATGAGGTCCATTGCCACAAACCTGGGTTCAACTTCTGTGTCTGCCACAGAGTAGCTGTGTGACCCTGGAATTCATCCACCTTCTTTCTTTTCTTCCAGGGTCCAACTGGAAAATGGAGAGTCAAATAGAATTCATTTCATTGTTTTGTAATAGTTAATAAAAGCAAAATTCTATTTAGAGTCTCTCATATGCAGAACTTAGAAGTAGAAGTGTACGTTTACGTGCATTAGCCATTTGTTGTTGTTATTGCTTTTCTGAGTAATTTAGAAAAATGAGGAAACTTAACAAGGCTGCAAGGCTGTACCTCAGTAAGTGACCTCACAGAAGGCAAAGATTCTGGGCAGAAGTACATTATTTTATACTTGTATGACTAAGGATGGGAGTAGGGGTAATTATGCATTCATTCTCTTTAAAATGGCTTGAGGTGAACCCATCTTGACTCAGGGGTGATCCCCTGGCCAGGTGATTGACATATCCAACTGGATTAATTTTTAAGGGAGGAGGCAAAAGGCACGTCTCCATCCAGAGAGATATTCCATTCTCTATTGTCACAATTCCTTCCCACAGTCTGCCACTTGGCTGTAATTCTTCATTTGACGAAGTTTCATTGCCAGGCCCACTTTGCTGGGTACAGTAAATTCCAATATTGGCAAGACCCAATCTCTGCCTAAGGAGCTCCTAATCCAAAGAAAATAATATTACCATGTGAATATTTTAGCCAAGCGTGGCTCAGGGAATTACTGTTCTACTGGGAGTGATAAGCCCTAGAAAATTTTAGTACTCAGCAAGTACCCTTCATAACTAAAAATTATGAAATTTTGACCCAGAGAGGTTACAGACTATTAAATAAATCATATGACCTCCATTGGTCCAGATTTCATGAATGCTAGACAGGAAGGCTCTTGGTCCCCAAATAGGATTCCTTCTGTTTGTGACATGGTCCAGATATCTTCTCCTTCACGACAGGCATTGCATTTGAAATTATTTATTTGGTATTTAAGGTTAGGAATGGTGTTCATCCTAGCCAACTTTCTGTCTCATTTAGTCCTTCCATAGTTACCAGCATATAAGAGATGCTTAATAAATATCTGTTAAATAGAATTGATATTTTTCCAATTATCCAAAGAGTAGACATGATTTGACTTTCAGGGGCATCTAGAAATCTTCATTTTTAAAAAGTGCACAAAGAGATCATTCTGGGTGCATCAGCGAAGGCATTGCTCTATTCAGAGCAGAAAGCGTGTTTCAGAATAAGGACTGCTGAAGCCTGAGGCTGAGGAGGAAGAACTCCCACTCACCACCTATAGTGGTCCTTCATCTGTTGGATAAGCCTCTAGTAGGCCAGCCCTTGGACATGGTTGTTTGAAGTCAGTGAGGGCAGGTGATACTAGGGATATTGGTAATGCTACAAATGAGGGCTTCACCTCAGAGGACTGGTTGTTTGAGATTTACCCACGCACCATTGAAAACAGCCTTGTTTATGTGATGTAGGATGTGGGGTGCCATAACTTCCTTCTGAAGAAGTGGCTTTTCACTGTAAAACAGTACAGATTTCATAAGAGGTATGATTCAGATGGAGGAGGGACTCAAATTCATTTGAATGTAAACAGTTCATGAAACATATAACCATAAATGTATCACCCTGTTACTTTTCACCTATTATTTAAAGAAGCAGAAGTCAGTCAAGCCTACTGTTTTCATAATTAAATATGTGCATTCCAGATGGTAGTAAATAATTAGTTCCCAAACACTTCACAGGTCTTCTAGACGTAAAGTGAAAGGTCGGGAATAGTGCAGTATGTCTGCGTGGTCCAGGGTTTCCTATGAAAATTTCCTGTTACGAGATCTGGCAGGATGTGCTGGGTTTTGCTTGTGGCAATAAGTAGTATGGAAGTTTGATTTGCCACTAATAATTATCTGAGTTTAAAGCAGTAATATTAAGCAGCTCAAGAACTCTGCTGCAGACATAGTGTATTATTTTTTTCTTGTTTTCAACTGAAAAAAAGATAATTAGAAGGATGGATTAAGTATTTGGTCCAGTCAGTTGATCCCTCATTGTAAGGTCATTCTAATGGAAGAGACGATGTATTAATCTATGAAAATTGCACATGTGGTCTCAGGACCAAATTATCAAGACTTAGGAGGCCTTTGTAGGTAGATCCCAGGGGGTTAGCAGGATTGAGAAGCAAGGTATGAAAACATGCAGAGGCTTTTAGTGGATCATGTTTTCATAGTCTTTCCTTCACCTCTCCAATCAGTGCCCCACCTCAAGGCTCCAGCTCACAGTCTCAAA